CATAACAGATACTGATGCTCTCTGTGCTGTATGCTTGAATAAATGGGTTCTGCAAACTGCATTTTATCAGTATATCTATCAGTACAACGACCATTATGAAGATCTTCAGCATAAAAAAAACAGGCATGTTGCATATCGCCAGCTTGCCAGATGGTGCTGGGGCTTTCTTGGTTGGGAGATACAGGTTGTCCTGCCTGCTTGTGCTGTCTGTTGTATCGGAGTGTCACGATACCCCCTTTTTCTTCATTCATTTAGATATATTTTTTTCATTCTATTGTCATCAAATACTTTGCTTCTTTTTAGTTTAGCTGATCTTTCTGAATCAGTTTAATGATTAATTTTCTTTACATTGTTTCAGCTCTACCTACGTCTTATTCTCGTTTTCATTCCTTTACCGTATCTACTTTTAGTAAATCACTTGGTTGTTTTTCTTACATTGTATCGTTGCTAAAGCTTATATCATGTTAGTCACTTTTCCTGTTTTTCTAAAATATTATTGGTTAAGTTTTTCACATGTTTCCGCGTAGCTTTTTATTTGAACAGTAGTTTGTAATTAGAATTTAACTTAGCAATGTTGATGAATGAAAATGTTAATGTGAAACTTTTATTACATCTTGTAGTTTTCTATACCGCTCAAGCCTGATTGCCCTTCACAATTGGTGACAGTTGGCTGGAATTTTTGATTAAATAGTGCCTAAGTGAATGAATATTTAGGTACCTAGCCTTCAATGGTCAGCAACAGAAATTGAGCCACTAAGGATAAGATTGACAAGGATGGCAACTGAGGAAAATGCATCACCTGGCCCCAGCACATCGCAATGATTTGACCCTTCTTTTGGAAGCAAGTCCATTTTGATGCAGCCCGACAAATTTTATGGGTATCCCAATGACGACATGATTGATTGGTTTGCATCGTTTGAGAGGATTGCGAGAGCCAACGAATGGGATGCAGAAAAATCCGGTAGAATGGTTTCTGCGTTTTTGAGGGGTCCTGCTGGAGACCATTTTGAAAAAATAGAAGAAGTAGACAAGACGAATTTCCGCGTAATCAAGCAATTGCTGATTGACTGATTCAGCCTGGCAGATATGAGGAGGTCTGCATATAGCTCCTTGGCTGGAAGGAATCAAGGAAAGAGGGAAAGTGTGAACAAATTTGCTTCATTCATTCAAAGATTGGTTTTACTGTCTTTCCTGCCTTAACGAGATAATTGAAATAACAGCCTGTGAGCATTTCATTTTGGGACTCAGACCACAATTATTGAAAGAGTCACGATGGCGGATCACAAAACATTCAATGATGCCATTAGAATTGCCCTAAGAGAAGAGAGTATGGAGGAAACTGAAACAGTTTGTGCTGAGGAAACACAAAATAATGGGCAAGTCAAAGAAATTATTGGGCTGTTGACAAAGATATTAAACGAAAAAGGACCCGTAAGTAACAAATATTTTGACCGTAGAAAGAATTATAATGGCACCAAAAATAAGTTTGCAAGAGATGGTTGTCCCATCTGCAGGCTATATAGAAAGATATTGCTGGAAAAAGTATCCTAAAAGCAAGCCTGGTGCAAATAATTTCGTCAAGAATACGGAAAACTAGAACCTGCTGCTGCACATAGAGGTCAGCCAGGAGTAATTTCAAAACCTCTACTGGTTCTTAATAGAGAGCAATATTCTCCTTCTGTTAAAGAAAATGATTGTTATGATTATGATAATTAAAGTAAAAATTTTACACAACCTTGTATCTCGTATGATGCAAGAGATATTATTATGTGGCCCAGCAAGTATTATTGATGGTTTTAATCATGACGTGCCCACAAAAATACTAGTTGATATGGGTGCATCCATGAGCATTGTCAATGAAACAATTCAACAGACGCAGTTTCCGCATGTTGTTCTCCACCCAGGGATTGTGAATGCTACGGCCGTCATGGGGGATCCTGTTAAGTTTAAGTTGTGTTCTCCGAATCGCTACGGTTAGAGAAAAATGTAGTATTCCAGGATTTTTATGTATTGTCGGGTTTTCAGGACAATTGTGTGCTTGATACAGATTTTCTTGCGCGGGCAGGCATATCCATTAATATGTTAGACCGAACATTGAAATGGAATTCTGAGACAATTTTCTTGGCCACAGATCCACCGGGCACTGTTTGGCAAATTTCTTTAATTGAGAGGGTAGATATACCTCCAAGGTCCTAGTTATTTACAATGTTGCCAATAGGCCCATGTTGTTTGACAGGTTTATTTGAAATAAATGACTCACTTTATCAATCTTTGAATGCTTACGCTGCAAGGTCGCTTGTGCAGCCTCAGCGTGGGAAATCCCTGTTAAGTTAGTAAACCCTTGCTTGGTAGTAGTAACTTTAAAACCCAATGAACATTGGTGAACTGACGTCCATCATTTATTCAGCTCATACGTGATTATGATGCTGTAAAGACAATAGCTCTGTTATCGACAGTATTAGCCTACAAAACGATTACTTGTCAGACAAACAACAAGTTAAAGAACGTTTTAGGCAAATACATACTGTTGACACGTAAGATAATGCCCCGATTTCGTAGCAACCATATCATGTCCCAGTGGCACAACAGAAGGTTACTGAAACACATATAAAAGATATGGCAAGTAGGGGGGTTTTTAGGCCCTCTAAAAGCCCTTGGTCAAGTCCTGTAGGATTGGTGGGAAAAAAGGATGGCAGCACACAATTTAGCATAGATCTTCTCAAGGTTAATGCGATAACACATGTGTACCCTTTTGCAGCGCATCGACGAAACCTTAGATAATTTACACTATTGATATTGGCACTCGTTATTTTACAACCCTAGATTTAGCTTCAGGATATTGGCAAGTCCCCTTAAAGAGGTATATATGCCTAAGACTGCTGTTTCTCATCACTCAGGTCTTCGGGAATTTACAGTGATGCCCTTTGGCCTCTGCAGAGCACCTGCTACATTCCAGCGACTCATGGAAATCATGCTCGCAGGTCTCAATTGGGAGCTGTGTTTATTCTATTTGGACAATATAATAAACTTTTTCGTGCACTTTCGAAAAAAAATTAGACAGACTATAATCAGTTATGTCCCGTTTGCGCACAGCTGGTCTTAAGCTCAAGGTTAAGAAATGTACTCAGCGATCATGAACGATCAAATGGAAACCAGGCTTAAAAAAATCTGATTAAGATACATTTCCCTTTGAGGTCATGGTTTAAAATTTTGCAAAGCCTGAGAGGGAAACTTGGATTCACATTTTTCTTGTAGAGGTTTATTGGTATTATCTATGAAAGTAAAAATGATGCAAATGGCATGCAGAAGATCTTAAACAACCTCCAAGGTTATGTTCCAAAATTTGAGGACAATGGAACAATCCAATATTCACAGCAAGGCATTGTAGGAGACCAGTTAACATTTGAAGAAGGAGTAAATGGTCTGTTTGAGTTAAAAATGGGTACAATGCCACAGAAAGACGTGAAGGGTTTCACTTTGAAATTGCAGATTTTCATGGTGGCATATAAGGAGACCAGTTGAGGTATATTTGAATTTTATATCAAATGTGCTGCATTTTACTTACAAAAATTAATACATGGAAGGTAAAGATGAAATATTTCACCAATTTGAATGCTCTGGACCTTGAGTAATGTTCAGTCTAAAGGTGTACAGGCTTGGTCAACCTTTCACAACTCCAGGGAGTCACCACGAAGTCACCACGGAGTAACCACTGAGTCACCACAAAATTTTTCATTCTTGCATTGGAGGCAAGAGTTGTTTCAGCTGCAATGTTGGAACTTGGAATCACTGATAGTGATGAGCTCCCAGGCCTAGACAGACTACCAGGAAACATTAATACTTTTTCCAAGCAACAATAGGTAGAATGGCTGAATGCATTAGATACTAAAGTGGTTGATAAATATGTCTTGAATGAAAAAAATGTTCAAGTTCCTAGAGTCGGAAAAGCAAGTGATAGGTATTTGTGTAGGTTTCCTACCTGTCAAAAGTCCTTCTGCTTTGAGAGGAAAAGTTGCCGGGCCCATGAAATGACGCACAGAGGGATAACATCAAATGGGATTACTAACAAAACTCCCAAGTCATCTTTCATGGAGGTCTAATGTCTATAAACTGTAACAGTATCAAAACTGTTGACAAGTGAGCAGAGTTTGCTAGCAAACAAGCCGGTCAGGAATCAAAACTAGACTTAAATTACACGTCATCTGAAGTATTCCAAGAGGATATAACCCATTTTGTAAAGATGGAACAGATAACAGAGTTTTCTCGCTGTTTGTTTCCGTTCGTTGTGGTCGCTGATGATGCCTTCCCCCTTAAAGAATTTCTGATGAAACCATATGCACAAAGAGGCCTTACCAAAGAGCAGAGAATTTTCAATTATCATTGAAGTCGTGCAAGACGCATAGTTGAAAATGCATTTGGGATCCTTTCTAACAGGTTTCGTGTATTTCTCTGGCCAATCAGGGTTACTCCAGAAAATGCAGAGAAAATCGTTCTTGCAAGCTGTGCTCTTCACAACTATTTGAGATCAAAAGATTCTGCCAGCTACACACCTAATGGGTCTTTTGATTCTGAGTTAGTTGAAACTGGCAAAGTTGTTGCAGGGGAGTGGCGAAATTGTGAACCAACAAGATGGCTTCGCTTGCACAACAAGGCTCCAACAGATATTCCAATGAAGCAAAAGAAGTCTGGGAAAGCTTGTCAAAGTATTTCAACACTGCTGGTGCAGTTCCTTGGCAAGATAAATTTGAATTGGTC